TGCAGGATTTATCTCAAACGCCCACTGGAATACAAAAAATAGATCCAGATGATGGAGGACATGTAGAGAAATAACCTCATATTCCCTAATCACACGCAGGATCTCAAATTTACAATCTAGCCTATTAGTTTTAGATATAAGTACTACAACATCAAGTCACATTTTTTACATTGCTAACAGTGAAAAGGTACAAGGTAAGTAAAAAGGTATTGCTACAAGTTCACAGACACTCTTAAAAATATTTACGTGAAAATGAAGTGTCTTCATGTAGCGCTCCCCCTTTGACTTACACATCAAAACGGTAATTTTGGAATCCTCCGGGAACTCCTATCATCCACCTTTTAAATGTTTGTGTTTTGGGAACATAAAGAAGTGCAAAGGGTCAAGATCAGAGTGATAGTGTGGATGAGTTAAGGTTTCCCAATGAAATCCTCTTAGGACCCAAGAGTAAGCAGGAGCATTGATGTGATGGCAAAAAAATTCCTTGGGGCCTCGTCTAGTTTCTCACCAATGCAAACGTCAAATTAAAAAAACCCAAACAAACGTCACAATGTTCTACATCCTGTTGTGGTTAACAGCAGGTGGGTTCTTACAAGTTCATGAGCAGACATTTAAGGTATATTGGTTTCTCCCCCAGGGAGAAAGGGGGGGGGAGATGAAGATTGAAGACACGTGGAAACAATTAGTCCCATGGATCACGCAAACAGCCTGCATAACCGAGACCAGAACTAGACGGTGCCCAGCTACTACTATTCACAGGCCTCGAACATAGTGGAAGGAAAATAAAATGTTGGTTAGAACTCCAGATCCTAGAAGACACCAGGCTTACTAGTCAGGTAGACCAGTGGGGCCACTGAGAACGTGGCCCATACTCACCATCCAGGTCTGGAATTGAACTTACCCTCATGTTACCCCCATGATGGTCTTCTTTGAGAAAAACCTATCAAAATGACCTTTTTGATATAACAGGCATCACAGCCTTTTGAGTTGACCTGGCTGGCTTGTAAATACAGTGGCCCAGCAGATTCCTTTGAAGGTACCTGTTTAGGCTGAACCTATTCTCTGGATCCTGTTAGTAAACCCAAAACTCATCCCTGGTTGATTCCTCCCTTAAAATCCTCAGTAGCTTCAGTCTTGCTTAAACTAATGTCAAGAGCGGCTTTGAGCTCCCCAGTGTCAAAAACTCACTAGGACCAAGACATTCACTTACAATTTCAAAACACAAAACCATGTTAGATCCCAACTTCAGTGGGATTTCCGTCAATGAGAATTCCTGTCTTCCACCAGTTTTTACTTCAGCCACAGTTTCTTCATTCATTAATGTTCAGTTTTCCCTCTCTTGGCTCACCTTTGAGGTCTCCAAACACTTGATTCATTCAAAAACGTGTTTTATGAAGGGCAGCATCCCCTTAAATTTATTGCAAAGCTTCAATGATTTGGCAAGGTGTCTGCTTAAGTTTTGTTCAAATTTTGTTATCAGTGCTGACCTCAAGCTCATTTTTTCCTGTCACACAAAAAGGTTTTTGTTTTGGCAGGGAGGTAGATTAAAGCATGCACATTACTGAGTGGACTCATGTATGAAATGGAACCTAGCAGCAATCATTTTTCACTTACCCTTACACTTATCAACATTTCTTTATATTCTCAAAAGACTAATCCAGGTCCCATTAAGTTTTAAGCATTTCTCAAAGGATGACAGGACAACCTACCAAACTACAAACAGAAAGCAAACTGCACCAAGTCCCACCCTCTGGCAGCCCCCATGTAGGGCAAGTAAAACGGAAGTTTTCAAAGCCGTGCTCTCTTAGAAGCAAACTGCCAAGCCCCTCTTTGGGAGAGACTCTGGATACCAACCTTTGGATTACTATTCAAGCATTTTACCTGGTTGCACCACCCAGGAACTCTTTACAAGATACCGAAGGATATTAAAACCACTGCCCTTACATGGTTATTATAGGCCTGAGATTTCAATTCATTGAGACCCAACAGAACAGAGTAGAACAGTTTCCTGGGCAGTAATCTTTAAAGGGGTCTACTTACTGTCTTTTCTCTCTAGTAGCAACTGATGGGCTGAAGCAACCTTCTGGTTAGCAGCCAAACACACCAAACCCTTCACTGCCCAAATAGGTTATTCCATCCTCCTCAACTTAGTGTACCAATTTCCTGTTAACTATGTGCTAAGAAGAAACATCAGCAAAGATTTTCTTACTTGAAAAGTATTAGAAGGTCTGTGTCTTTATACTTCTGGCCAGGGGTCTCAACGAACTTCTTAGCACATTCAATTCTCTCAAACACAATAAATATTGACCCCTAAAAAAAAAATAAAACTGTTTTAAACCTGTCCCGTATTCCACAATTAGAAAGTCTGCAACAAAAGAGGAGTATACCTTAAATGCTCTGTGCAATGTTCTTCTCATCTGAATATTTAGTATTTCACCTTTGCCTTCCAACCATTCTTTGATGTCATCGAGGGTTGCATCAGTTGGGAAGCCTTTCTGTGAAGAGTGCAAAGAAATGCACAAATAATGCTTTCTGAGGTTAAGAACTTTGCCAGAAATTCTGATTCATGTGTGTCTTGAAATGAAGCAGTGGTAGTTACACAATCTGGTGTCAATTAGGATTATGAGTGAAGGGGTAGAGCCTGGCCTGTCAATCAAGATATAACCAATGAGGCCTCTGTGTGGGCATGGACTTTGCCTGAGAATTCTGGAAACTCCTACATTTTCCTCCTTAGAGATGGGAGATATTTTTCTGTCTCTGCTCACTCCCCGAGAGACACTCTACTGACAAGACAGGTGTCACTCGCTTAAAGACTCCATGCCCTGGGAACTGGAAAAGCCATGCAGAGACCCCTGCCAGTGCCAAGATGCTTACAACACCACTAGATCCAAAGACTTTCTACCCACTGGCCTGTGATGGTCTTGCATTCAGCCTCATTACATGTGTCTCATGAGTCTGAAGAGGACTTCATAGACTGGTATTGGACAGATGGGTAAATATTGGACTTATGGGCTTGGACTACATTAGGATGCTTTCTTTGAACGAATGGTTAATGACCAAAAAAAGTTACTCATAGAAAACTCCCTTATATACACATAAGATTCTGTGGACTTGTTTCTCTAGTCTATATGGACTAACTCAGAAGCTAACACACACCTCTATCCATCTCTTTCTGTACTATAAGGGACTGTGACTCATTTATCAGTTTTACTCCAAAATCATCCAGTTGCCCTCATGACAATTTTTCTATTTTCAGACAAATAGAGAAATCTATAGAGTAACATTAAAAAGTCATGAACTCCTTGGAAAAATCAACTACTTGACATCAAAAGAGCAGTCTTTGCCAAGATCAAAGTCTGACGGAAAAAAGGTTAGGAAGGAGTAATGCAAAATGGGAACACAGGATCCCAATTAATGACATGAAACAAAATGTGTATGAACTATTGAATGGGAACCGAACTGCTCTGTAAACCTTCACCCAATACACAATATAAAAACAAGCCAACTAGAGAGGTAAAACAAATGCGTGTGTTAATAACTGCTGAAATTGGTCGAAAATATAATCCTATATGTTTGAAATGTTCCCTAATAAAAAAAGTCTAATTAAAAATTAATGTTTTAAAATGTCACAAATTATTAGTTGTTGGTGTCAGAGTGGAACTATGTGCCACAAGAATTTTAGTGGCTGCTTTTTCAAAAATAGATCGCCAGACTTTTCTTCCAAAGCATCTATGGGTGAATTGGAATTTCCAAGCTTTCAGTTAGCAACCAAACCTTTAATTGCCTACACCACCCTAGAACTCCTTCAGCAGCTGATAAAAAAAGAAAAAGAAAGCCAACTCGCTGCCATAGAGCTAATTCTAACTGATAGCAACCCTGCAGGACAGAGTAGAACTGCCCCTGTGGCTTTCTAAGGCTGTTAGCTCTTTACGGGAGCAGAAACTTTTTCTTTCTCTAGTGGAGCAGCTGGTGATTTCGAACTTAGCATCTTTGGGTTAGCAGCCCAATCCCAATGTGTACTCACAATGCTACTAGACTGTATTGAGTACTTACTTATAACAAAGACTTTGTCCAATGTTCTATGATCTTTTTCATTTAATTCTCACACAATAGTTCAGTAAGGTAAAAATATATTATCCCCCTTTAAGAAGATAAGGCTGAGTGTTTAAGTACTACAGTCCAATGACAGTGAACAGTAGTGAAGCTATTTCTGAACCCCCTATTCTTAACTAGTCTGAACGGCAGAAACAATTATATAAAGGCCCACTTACAATATATACAGATCTGTTTTTTACATCATTTTTATACTCATCCGTCACTTCGGGGAGAGGTTTGCTTGGAGATCTTCTGATTTTAGTCTTATCTTCACTTATTTCCATGAGCTCTACCTTTGATTTGCTCAATGCTTCTACTATTACATTAAAGTCTGTTGTCAGACGGTTTAACCTGTTGAATTTTATCATTATCTCCAGTGGTACCCAGCCTTCATCTAGTTTGATCTGTTCCTTTAAAAATTTGTCCCGAGGCAAATTAAAGTCACCAAAATAATACTGTAAGATAATTAAAATATATTTCAGAGCAGTGTGTAATATTGACTCCAACCCTAGAATGATAGTTTTCTAATTATCATTACATTACTAAAAACTATTCTTTAAAAATACATGTTATAAGTTACGAGATGCAATAAGCATTTTCTCCTATATATACTAATGGCATATTCATAATACAAATGAAGATGAAATTAAAATGTGACTTGTCTATTATTTCCATTCCATGTGGAAATAACTAAAATAAACTGGATGTCTGTACACAGACAGCACTGACAGCTGCTCTGACCCACTCTACACACTAAAACCCACGAATTTTTTGGAGCCACCGAGGCTAGAAAAATCCCCCAAACTACCGTAGAAGCAATCTTCTTTAAACCTTAAGCAAAAATACTCTGAAATTTTGGCAAAGTGTAGTTTAGCTTAATAAGTAAAGATGAGGGAGACGTCGGACAGGGCAAGATATGACAAAATACCCATTTATAAACTATCAAGGGCTCATGAGGGAGGGGGGAGCGGGGAGGGAGGGGAAAAA